GTAGATTGATAGATCTATGAAAACTTGAAAATCTTAAAAATTGACGGCCAAAAAATATGCTATATAATACACTATTTCCAAAAATTGAAATCCATTTTTTTTCTCATGTCCATGCATCTTGATGTTGAGATGATCAATTTGAGGACATTTGCCCATCAAAATAACTTCTTCTAATGAAATTTTTGAAGTAAGCTCAAATTTAATTGTTTAGAGCCTCGGCTTCATATAAACTTTTCCCAAAAGATATTGCCTTCCCTTTTTCTCATCTTTTAACATAAAAGGTTTTTTTTTTTTCCCCTCCATTTGGGTTTCTAAAAGGGCATATTGGTAAATATAATCATTAGGGTTTAAGCGGGTATAAAATACAATTTTAGAGAGAGACAGGAAAAGGCTTTTGCGAAACCTCGCTCTGTATCTATCTCACTCTCTCCTCTCCTCTCCTCTTCTCCCCTCCACTCCTCTCCCCGCGCCTCCCCTAACACCCTCTCTCCCACATTTTCACGAGGAGATTCCGGCCTGTTTTTCAATCATATTCCGACCAACACTCAACACTCTAAGTAAGCTTGTGCTATTTATTTTAATATTTTTTTGTTTTGTTTTGGATTTAGAAAAAGCAGAAGTAATTGCAAAAAAAATTATGTTTTTGGCTTTAGAAAATTAGGGCTTTTCCAAAAAATAACCTTGTGAAATATTGTTTTCTTTTCCAGTTTCGATTTTAGATTCTTTTGAAGGGCTTTTACAATATGTAAAGGTCTTAAACAGCTTAAATTTTTTTTGTAAAGGCCTTAAAACATAAAACGAAAACCGCCAAGAAAAGGAAGAAAATGAAGATGATGACTATTGATAGTGATTCCATTTGATTTCAGATTTTATTTGAGATTTTGTGCCTGAATATAAATATATCACTTGTAATATTATTGAAGATGTAAAAGAATTTAACTTTCTAAGTGCTACGGGATTGTGGAGTTGTTAAGAACTGTGGAGTGTATTGTTGTACTTTATTTATGCTTTCATTAGTCTATATTCACGATTATGGGCTTCTTGTGCAATTGTTTTCATGTTTTGCGCCTGAAATAGTTGCCTGCATAATGACTTATTGATGCTTGATGGGCTATTTTTTCTTGTAATATTTTTTTTTTCTTACTTTTTAGATATTATCTGCATTTTTATATTTTTCTGTATTTTTTTGGGAGTTCATTATTTTCCATATATATTATTTTTATTTCTAAATTCACCAGTCCTATGAACCAGTCCTGATCAACAGGTCTAACTGGACCACAGGCTTAGTTGCATTATATTAATTGGCTGATTTAGTTATTTTTGAAGTTGGAGGTGTTGAAGAAGAATATGCTTGTGTTTATGGAGTTGTTTTGTAGGCTGATTTAGGTATTTTTACTAGTATTGAATCCACAAGCTGTGGACACTTCAAAGGCGCACGAGCACCTTTTAATGGTTAAGATTGAACCAGGTTCATCGAAAGGTCAAAAATGGATTTCGTTTTTCATTATTTATTTATTATTTAAAAATGACATTAATTTGTAATGTGGGTTTTAGCTTCAGTTTTTATAAGTAGAACTAAATAAAATTAGTAAAAGATATTTTATATAAAAATATTGATGAAAATAAAGTTAGGGGTATTTTGGTCACCATTTATTAAAAATATTTTAATTAGTTCTCTTTTACAAATGTAAACCTGCAACTTCAGATGAATATTTTATTTAAATAAAAAATAAAAATAAAATATGAAATTAATGTTTGGCCATTAGATGTGGTCTTGTGAAATCTCAACCATAGTGTAGCCTTCCGCCTTTCCACACATGATGTGGATGGGATACTTTTCAATAGAAACTCTTGGGATCCTATGTAGGTTGAATCTTCCTTCCATAGTCCCTTTTTTGATTGGTTTGTTAAAACATTTCATGGCTTTGAGGAAGAGATAAGAGGAAAAGGGGTCTCCTTGTTTGAGCCTATTTTTTCCCTTGAGTTATCCAAAGGGTGTGATAGTGTGGTGATGCACATTTTAAGCCAATTAATTAATTTCTCCTCAAATTTATATCTTTACAGCTAATTAATTAGGAATTCCCTTTTGATTTTATCAAAAGCCTTGTGGAGGTCAATTTTGAGGTGAAAGGTGCTTACGTTTTTTATTTGCCATGCTATGGATTAGTTCGTGGGCGATTAAGACTTGTTTATATATACGTCTATTTTCGGGAAGATCCATTGTGTCCAGGGGTTTATTCGAGTGAGACTGATGAGGGTGTTAGCAATTTCTTCAGAAGATACTTCTATTTGAAGAAAGTCGTATTCTTATTCTGAAATTTGGGAACCATAAGGAGCATTTGATTTAAGTGAGATGGGCTGCATATTACCTTGGGCATTGTTTTAACAATCAAGGTCTTCATGGATGATTCCTTCTTTGTTTTTTCTTGTTGCGCCATCTTTTCTCTTGAGCTTTGAGATGGCTGTTAGAGACGTACTGGTCATAGTTTTTGCAAAATAGAACTTGGAGCAACAGTCACCTTGGGTGAACCAACTTTGCCTTTGACTTTAGATGCCATGAATACTTTTTCTTTGGAAAGCTCGTTAGTGAGCTTCTTTCTTCATTGTATGTTGCAAGTTCCATTGGTTATGACTCAGGTTGTTCTTGTACCATATCCATTTTGTGCTCCAATTGCCTCACTGCCAGGTGAACGGAGCTAAATACCTCAAAATTCAATTTTCTTTAGGGCTTTTTGGATGTCTTGAGTTTTGTTTGGACTTGCCCATAGATGATGGGAGCATTGGTTAGGGGGTGACAATCCCCACTTGGAATCTCGCTCCGGCCATCGTGGAGTTGGAGCCGAAGCGGAGCTCGCTCCCCTCATTAGAGGATCTCAACCCCTATCTTATAGGGATCTCGATTCCTAACTAGAACCTGTCAGCCCATGGGCTAATGGAATAGTGAATTTGGCCACTTTGACGGTCACGACTGTATTTTGTAATATAATTTTCATGTTTTTTATACAAATCCAAATAATATGAAATTTCAGGCATCCACTCTTTTTATCTTGGCACACCTAATAAAAATATTAAAAAAATAATTCGCAAAAAATAAATTAGATCAAAATACTCATGAAACTTTTTAGGGGTATTTTGGTTAATTTATTTTTTGCGAATTATTTTTTTAATATTTTTAATAGATTCTACTATTTTTAAAAAATAGATGCTCCAAATTTAAAGTGATTTGGATTTGTAGAAAAAAATTAAAATTAAAATATGAAATGCAATCGTGATCATTGGATAGGCCCAGATTCAATCTGGGCCAGTGGCATTTACTGTAGCTGTCAATTAGCTGGCTGACCTTTGATTCTCCATATATATATATATATATATATATATATAAATATATACTCACACACAAACACACACACACCCACCCACCCACCCACCCACCCAAGTGCCGTCATATACAAGTAGTGCGTATATCATGCTACTCTGTGACAATGGTCCCGAGCATTCCCTACTGCCTGATTGTTTCTCTGATTGGGCCAATGGTAAAACTCTGTGGTTTTTGAGAATGGTGGCACGTACTGCTCGAGTTTTTCTTCACGTGAAACTATAGGAGTGTTTTCCTATGTCTAAAGACGGGAATTACGTATCATAGTTAAGAGATCTATTCTGTGCTTCCTAGGGATGGGGTAACCACTTTTTTTTTTGGGTGCTCATAGATGGGTGCATTAGAGGCGAGAGCATTAAAATCTCTCGCCACTAGCCACGGTTTTGAACTAGCAGTGCTGGCAAATTTTGAGAGTTCCGACTGTGGGTCCCTACAAATGGTGGGGTTATTGTTGGTGCAGGCTGCTGAAAAAATGCATATAATGTGGAGGAAGGGGGTTCTATAAATTGAATGTGCATGCCCTGTGGGGATGAAGCTATCAATTGAATGTGCAGAGTTTCTGGATTCAGTGGTTACTATTATCCAAATTACAGCTCTTCGTCTATGCAATCTAAGGCATAATTGGAAGACTCGTACATGATCCCAAGATTAGCTGGTTATGGTTTTGGGCATTCTTGGTTTGTTTTACAAGTTCTCATTTGTGTTATTTTCTGATTAGTGTTCATGTTATTTGTAGGGGATATACCTCTATGGTGAAGTTCTGAGTTTTGTTTTCTTCTTTTAAATACTGACTCTCACCCGCAGCAGTAGTTTCTACATTTCAAGGGCTGTTAAACATGCAAAATTTTATGACCTTGCTCAATAGGCTCTGATCCATAACAAACCAAACGTACAAGCCTGAAGCAACTATGAGACTAAAGCCTTAAGCCAGAGCACCTAATTGCAGTTTTTGTTAGAAAACCTAATACATAATAACTGTGATACCCTTTTTAAACTTTTTTTGTCAGAAGCTTTCTGATCAATCTAACGGTAAGAGTACAAACAGGCAGATTAATGCTAAAGTTTAATTCTCAACCTGCTCAACCATGTGATTTCCATAGCTTGAGTGAAGCCAAGCAGCCACCATTTAGAACCACCCATGACCTGGTTTGAGTTGCCATGCATCTATACTGGCCTAAACCGTGTTCTTCCACTTGGTTGGTGACAGTTGATGCAACTTGTGACTTTGACTTAGGGGTCATCCTATTTGTTGATCTTAATAGGCCAAACCAGCTGCACATGAGAAGGAATGGTCGTGTATGTAGTTGATGCAAATGCAAGTGTTTCAAAAATAATATCATTTATGTGCATCATTGGCAGGTAAAGGTTTAGCGCGCTGATACTTATTTTAGATGTGTTTCAGATTCATGGGAAACCAAACTATGAATTATTTTTGCTTATATCATTAGTTCATGCCTTCCTGGGTATGTATTGGATGTTGATAGCGAAAGGGAAGCCTAATGTACGATGAAATTTGCATTTTAAGATGTTTCTTGTTTATTATAACCAGTGTTATGGGACTCGACCAAGTCCACTTGGACTGGGCTGAGTACTGAGGCCAAGGCCGAGTTGGGGCAAGTTCCACGGCAACTCGCCCCACCCTTATAGAGGAGGTAAAAAATATAAAAAAAATAAAAACATGCAAAAAAAAAAAGAACGGAGAACACTACCATACTAGTTAGAATTAAGTTTTTAGATGACTTTGGTAGTTTTTAAGATGATTCGGGAACTTTCATATTTCCTTTTTTTTTTTCTCTAAACTACTTAGGATCTAAATCAAAATTTCAATAATCCATCTCTTGTAGATTCCTTTTCATCTTTTTGGTCATCTAATGCTTTCTATTACCTCTTATAGTTTTTTCTTATTTTTATCTATTATAATTTTTTTATACCTTTTTTGACTTTTTATATTTCATTTTATCAGATTGAGTCAGTCGAATTACTCATTCCAAAACATTTATTATGACTATTTTTTCTTACTTTCTGTTTGATGGAGTTGATTTTCCCTCACCATCTCTTTCGTGTTGTTCTAGGTTCAAAGATGACCATGATGATTATTGCAATAAGGCTTCTCCGGTTCTTTCATCCGTTGAGATACACAAAGAAACACAGTTTGGTTACAAGAATAGGAAAACATGAACTAAAAGGTGCATCATAGTTGGAGAACCGGGGAATGAAGCCATTGGTCCGTGTAGCTCACAATTCTCTCTACTAGTAGTACTCTCAATCATACTTCAGCTATTTGAAAATTCTTTTTGTACTGCAAGTGGAATATTGTGGCCACTATGTTAGCTTAATGTACCATTTTTCTGGCACACTGTACAATTCACTGATTTGAAATGGCATATATTATATTTTTTTGTTCCAAACAACACTTGCTCCATCCCATACTCATGTTGTACTTATTTATTTGTGCACACTTACTGTTCAATCATTTTTCTCTATTTATGAATTTTCTACATACTATTAAATACAAAATCTACACAGTAGGCGTGTTTAATGTGAGGAACAAAATAATTTTGAATAGAAATGTATTCAACCATCTTAATTATTAATAGAAAAATCACCAAAAATATGTATGCTGAACTTTATCATGACGAAAACTTGAATAATTGGAATTTTGTGAATGATAAGAAATATTATTTAGTCTAGCCTCTCTAGCTATTGTTTACCATATAGTTGCAACATACAAATGGTATGCTGCATGTATCCTTAACCATCAATTGTGAAGGATAGTTCATCTTCACAGTCAATTGTCAACTACAAATGGTTGGTTGGAGGTTTCATGCAGCGGGAATGTTGGATGCTGAATGATTCATGGCATTCTTCCAGTCCACTGAAGTTGGATTCAGCCGCCACAACATACATTGCTCACACTTCAAGAAATGAACAACCTGAATTCAAATCATTTGCAGAATAGGCACTTCTGATGGAGAGATATTAACTGAGTACTAGTATCAGTGTAGGATTGCATAACCTGACTGTGGAACCTGGCCATGTGCGGGGTTCGAGGAATCTGGAACTGGCCTGTGTCAGGTTTCCAGCTAGGAAAAAAACTGTTTAAAAAGTAAAAAATACAAAAGAAATACCAAAAACTATGAAAAACATGTTCATCAGCAGCTTTCCTCCAGAATTCGCTAGCGTTGCTCCACACTAGCTCACCTTGTAACTCTCGAGCTGCTGTTGGTCCCCACCTCCTGAGGGACAGACCTAGTTGAACTTTGATGGTTGCACTGTTGGCAACCCTGGCCCGGCAGGCATCTGTGGCATCTTTAGGGACCACAATGAAAAAGTCCTAGCCTCCTCCAAGCACATCCGCACTCCCACTCAGTTGTGTCCTTAGCCTTCTTGGAAGGCCTGAAACTCTTCAATACCCTTTGGATCCAGCCTCCTTAGCTTTTCTGGAAGGCCTCAGACTCTTCAATCCCCTTTGGAACTAGCCTCCTTAGCTTTCCTGGAAGGCCTCAAACTCTTCAATCCCCTTTGGAACCAGCCTTTGATCATGGAGGGAAATGGTAAGAATGTTATTACTTGGCTTTGGGTACCTCTGCTTGCCCCTGGTCTCTTGCCCTGGTTTTTGACGTCACTCATATTTGCAGGGACCTGGTTGGAATCCAATGCCGAGGCGGACAACCTTGCTAAAGATGGAGGCTACTACAAATCTACTTGATTTTTTGGGATCATCGTCTTGGGCCATGAGAAGACTTTTGTATCCTTCTGTTTATATCTTGTCAATTTGTGCAAACTTTGCTGGTTTTTTTTTATAGGGCAACTTTTTCGGGTTTGTCTCATTTTTTTGTATAGGGTTCCCACTCGGTGGGTTGCTGGTATGTTGCTCTGTTGCTCCCGGCTTGTGGGTAGGAGCCCATTTTGTGTCATCTTGTATCTCCCTTATCTTTGCTAATAGAACAGTTAACCGTTAAAAAAAAAAACTGAAAGTAAAATGGGAACTTATAAAAAATATCCTCTCTTTTTTGACCTTATTGTTCAAGTTTTGCATAAGGTTGCAACCTTAAACAATCGAATTAAGGTGCACCTCCAAATTCTATCACAAATTTAATTTTGGTGTAAAAAAATTATGAAGATGGCTTGAGAATCTATTTTCATCTCTAATTTTAAAACTTTAAAACTCAAAAAATAGTTCAAATCAAGTAGATCTATAAAAAACATAAAACTCTTGAAAATGGATGGTCTCGATAATATGTTGCAAGATTTGCTATTTTTGCGACTCAAAATCTTTTTTTTCTTTTCATATTCATACATCTCGATATTGAGGATTTTCCAACATCAAACAACCCTTTATGATAGATTATTGAGGTGCAACTTAATTCTACATTTTAATGTTGCAATTTTATATAAACTTTTTTCTTGAAAAAAACTCCAATTTTTTTAAGACCTTATCCATACCCCTCTTCAATATTATTTCCACTTTGTGACTAGAAGTGTTAGGTCCGTGGTTTAGTAGCGACAGGTCCGTGGTTTACTAAATGAACTGAAACCATCACGGTAGTGTTTGGGATGGATGATCTCCATAATAAGTTGTAAGATTTACTATTTTTGCGATTCGAAATCTTTTGTTCTTTTCATATTCATATATCTCGATATTGAGGATTTTCCAACATCAAACTACCTTTTATGATAGATTATTGAGGTGCAACTTAATTCTACATTTTAATGTTGCAACTTTATATAAACTTTTTTTTTGAAAAAAAACTCCAATTTTTTTAAAACCTTATTCATACCCGTCTTCATTACTATTTGCTATTTTGTGACTAAAATACCATTCATAGTTGTGTTAGGTCCGCGGCTTAGTAGTGATAGGTCCGTGGTTTGCTAAATGAACTGAAACCATCACGGTAGTGTTTGGGATGTGATAAGAGTATCACAATTTTGTTAGTAAGCATCCTACACATCACGGTTGTGCTAGTGCCGTGATGCCCGGTGACGTGAACTACTATTGTCTTAGAACCATGCCCCCACCCGAAAACTGCTTCATTAATACCCGGTTCGGCCACCAGCATGAAAAAGTGCGTTCTTGGCTCCCCCAAATTTAAGTTCAACCTAGCCCAATTAGAGGCATCTTTATTTTTTATTCTCTCTTTAAACGATTTTGTTTGTAATCCAAAACAAGAATTTTATAAAAATTTTATATTAAATTTTTTTTTGTAAGGGGTTGTATACAATATGACTATTTACTTTTCATACAAAGTGGTCACAATTTGTTACAACTTTTTGATGTGAAATTTGATAGTTTGGATGTCTCAAAGTTCAAGAAGATTTCTTTTGAAATTTGAGTTTGGTCAATGGAATAATTGCAACCACCCAATTTCACATCTAATGGTTAAGATTAATGTGTCCATTTTGTATCAAAGGTAAATGGTCTCATTTTATACTTTCTGCTTTGAAAAATTTAAAAATAAAAAATAATATTAAAAAATAAAAAGTAATGAAAAAAAAGGTGTGGATATGCGGCCATTCACTCACTTCATCCCCCATCCCCACCACGCCCCCATCTCTCTCTCTAAAAATCCATCCCCCTTTATCTCTCTCAAAATCCATTCACTTTCCCCCCTCTCTAAAAATCCATTCACTTTCCCTTCTCTCAAAATCTATTCTCCCTCTTCAAAAAAACCCATTTAGAGAAATGGAAGTTTATTTAGAATGCTTTACTTGATTTAGAGAGAGACGGGGGAGGGGAGGGCTTACATAATAGCAAGTAACAATGGCAGCAGAGTTCCAAGGAATGAGCTTTAAACTCATATGTATTCATTCTTGGACTGAAAACAAGAGCTAGAGTACTTATCTTGTGAGAGTTGAAGGAGACCATTGTTTAATATCTTAGCCATATCGTTCCCGTCTGAGTAGAAATTAGCCTTGGAGGCCATAATCAAAAGATTCAAAAAAATCAGTTTTAAAGCCCAACGAGAAGAGAAGGTGAAAGCCATTGAAAGACATGGCAGATTAAAGAGAGTACGTGGTGTCTAATGTGTGTGAGAGAGATAAGAGAAGTGTACAATAAGGGATGGTGGTCGAGGGTAGAGAGATGTTGGGTTTTTATATGGAGAGAGAGGGTTAGGAGAGAGAGATGTAGGGGAGAGAGAGAGGAGCATAAGAGAGATGTAAGAGAGATAGGAGCAGGAGAGAGTGATAAAGATAGAGACTCAGATCTCTTGTTCCCACAAAGATGTTCCCACAAAGAGAGAGAGAAGAGAGAAATTTTGGGCTTTTCGGGCTGGCCCGGGCCCTGCCAGGCACGAGGCCCGTTCTCAGTCCAAAACAAGCTGGAAAGGGCTTGAAGTTCTGACCTAGCCTAGACCATTGGCAACCCTATGGTTGAGCTAGGACAGTGGTGCCTTAAACTGTTCACTCAGAACTGTGAAGATCCCCTTAAAGAGGCATTACAGTTGTGTCAGAACTATGATGCTTTTTGAGGCGTTCATCTTTACTTAAGAATCACAGTTTCTTGAGAACCATGAAAAGTATTTTGGTTGCAAAATCCCAAATAATGCGTATAAGTAAGGTTTTGAAATATCAGGTTTTTATTTTATTTTATTTTTTATTTTTTTTCTAATAACCCGAAAAAAACGGATTGTTTTAGATAATTTTTCAATTAAAATTAAACAAAACACATCCAAATGAGATTAAAATAGCAATGAAAAATATATTTCGAATAATCAATTGTGATCAGGGGTATTTTAGAAATAATCCGAAAAAGATGGTGAAAAAATATAAAAATAAGTATTTGTAGCCAAAATATGTTCAAATGTTTGCCAAAATGATAGAAAACATAGCAACACACATAATTTTTTTATTTTTTTGGATTTTTTTAATAATTGTTTATGGATCTTTTTCAAACATGAGAACTTGACCATCAAAACTTGCCATAACAGGACCCGCCTATGGGCCGATTTAAGGTAAACCGGCTCCATCCGGGTAACCCCACTCGGTCCGGTTTGACCTGATTGGTTTGTCTAACACTGACCAGTACTCCCATGCGATACTCCCATGCGATATTGTTCTAATGCGTGTACCAATCTTGACAATACGTCCACCGGAGGACGGGTATGTTTGACGTGCACGCATGAGCACTCTATCCACATGGGAAGTCGACAAAATATCAATGCGTATGAGAGGAATGTGGAGGGCTGGTCAGCATGGTTCTTGATTTCATGGCAGCTAAGTGGTCTTTTTGGCTTTTGAACAATCTGTGTGGAACATATTTGGTCAACTGCATGAGCATAGTTGAGATTTCTTCTTCTTTGGCAATATTTGAGTTAGTCGAGATATTTTCAGGGAGAAGTGACCAATCCTTATTGAGTTTATCTTGCCTTTAAAGGCCTTATGGGAGCCATTTTATATAGCGAAACCTAAACTCAGTGGGAGTACGGTTCTCTTGTGGACCATACTAGACAAATACGATTTGCAGATACTCGGATTAGGCTCGACGTGCTGGGCCAGTTGAGTCTAGAAAAAAACTCAAGATATCTGGATATAGGGATTTACCGAGAAGGGTTTAATGAGTTAGCCCTTGATGAGGTCGGAGTATGCCCAGATGAGAGCCGATGGACTGTGTGGCTCTTGTGTGTGATGAATAGCCTTTAGAGACATGGCTAAAACCCCATAATTATATCATCACACGACATGTATATTGATAACCGTTTTGAGATTCACCAATGATGATGAAGCGTGTACATATATGAGAGATTAACCCTATGCACCATAGAGTCATGGTTACATCATGGTCTGGAGGACCATGATTTTTTGTCTCTAGGGAAGAACCTGAAATCCATAAATTGGGATTGTGTCCCCTAGTCTATTGGCTGACTTTGGTGGTTCAATCATGAGTCCCTACAGTGGACTGTGGTTCATGAGAATTTTTAGGTCAGTTTGAGAAAGCTAGGAGGATCGTGGTCCGCAGTTGAAGATGAAGTGCTCTCGTATATTGATAAATTCCTAGACCTAACGGATCCGATTCCCATCAAAATTTATTAGTTTTAATTAATTTTATGATATATGATCTTTTAGAATGTTCATTTGAATATTTGTGCATCTTATGATATTTTGTTTTTTGTCATTTGGATTTATAAATGAAGAGAAATTAATTTTTCAATTTTTTAAATAAAATATAAGATTTAAAAATTCTAAATACAAAATAAAATAGTTTCTAAAGTTATATGGGACCCTCCGTAAATATGGGGGGCCCAATTTAGAACATGTGGGATTGGGTGGGCTCATGTATAGCCACCAAAGGGTGGCACGCCCCTCCCATGGGGACTAACTTGTTCTCTAAGATTGGGTGATATTTATCCCCTTGTTTGTTGGCTTATCTTTTGGGTGTAGCCAACTTACATGATAAGGTTCAATAGTTGAAATATTTAGTAAATCTTTGAATCAAGATTGTTTGATCCAATAAATAAAGATTGGATTTACTAAAATAAAAAATAAGATCTATACTTTCTTTATTTAAAGATTTAATGGGAATAAATCTAGAAAATGGAGGATAAAACTCTAGCTCATCTATTTGAATCTTGATGGTGGATCAAAGAGATTGATGACTCAAATTTCTCATCCCATAAGTTTCTTTAGATCAACGGTCAAGATTTGACCCTACAATTTGAAGCAAACCCCAAGGCAGAAAAAATCTATAAAAAGAGGCTTTCCCACCTCATAAAATCTCGACACCTACTTCTCTTCTCTCTCTAAGGGTTTTATCTCTCTCTCTCTCTCAAAGATCTCTCTATAGGTGACATGCCCTACCTAGGGCCTCAAGATCTCTCCCATGTTTTTCTAAGGGGGAACACCTTAACCAAAATCTCTCTCTCTTATTTCTAGGTGGCACGCCCAAGCTAAGGTTAGCTTGTGGTAGTTTGATTTTTGAGTATTAAAGGGGAAGATCCCCTTGCTAGTAGATCTCTCATTCACTTTTTGATCTATCTTTTATCA